AAACTAAGACCATCCTGGCCAAAATGGGATGCATAATTCCTAAACTTAAAGGTATTTGATTTAATGATAATACTAGAAATGATCTTGAAGCAAATTCATTAGATATCATGAATGTAAACATGACTATATAATTTCCTTCTGCATTTATTTTTTGTACTAGCTTAGGTAAAGAATGTATTTACGTGTATTTAAACTATTTGATGGTGGCAGTAAACTCACAATTGGTTAGAAGTAGTCATATGATTAAAACATAGATTTGCCTGGCTCCAAAGCATCTTTCTGCCACAATAAGGAAAAGTCATACAGAATTTGAAAAATTAACATAAGGTAGTAATGTTGGAGATACTATTTTACCATGTTTTGCAATTTGCAAAGTTTATTTTTTAAAAAAAGAAAAAAAATCCCTGTTACATTTATCTGACTAGCCTGTCTTTGTTTGTTTTTCCTTCTTGTATACTTTAAAACAAAAATACACGCACGCATTTTCAGTTTAACCTTTAGTGCCCATAGATAAGCAGTGAAGCAGGTCTATGTCTGATGCAACAAATCCTGAAGACCTGTCTTCAAATGATTTAGTTTAACCTACAAGCTTCTAAAAGTGAAAGTCTTTGATTCATAGTCAATACTATGAATTGGAAGCACACCATCAGTGTTTTATAGAACTACAGGTTCTTTTATCTTTAGTTGAAAATTAGTCTGTATTCAAAAAAGTAAAGAAAATACACATATATTCAAAATTTAATAAACCTTTTATTTGGTGATGAACTTGCCTTACCTTTAAAAAAAAGGTAGAATCATAGAATTAACATTTTTTCCAATATTCATCAAAATACCAGCTTTACCAATTTAGAAAATACTATTGTTCTTTTTTAAAAGATAGCCAGTCCTTATAACATTAAATAGAAAGAGCATAACAAGATAGTTTTTTAAAACATTTGGGTTTTAATCATAAATTGTATTGACTTTATTACATTTTGTTTGTGGTCTGATATCTGGAAAAAAAACTGAACAATGGAAGAAAATATTTGGATGTTTTTAAAAATAAGGTCTCACATTTTATATTCTGATATATATATATATATATATGATGAGTAATATAGCTTGGAAAGATGCTGCTCTTTTATAAAATAATTGCATTCAAGTCAGTAGAATTTAATCCATTTCATTGTCTCTGAACTTCTAAATGAAATTATGAAAACCAAATCATATGCTTTTAAATAAATTAGCAAAGTTCATTTGTGATTCAGAATCCCTGTGGGATTACTTTCTTCAGTGGTGGGAGGATATCAGTTTCATTATACTATTTCCAAGTCACAGAATAAAGTAAACTATCAATTGATCACATCCTTTTAGGGTGAAACCCCATCTCTACTAAAATTACAAAAATTAGTTGGGTGTGGTGGCGGTTGCCTGTAGTCCCAGCTACTCGGGAAGCTGAGGCAGGAGAATCACTTGAACCTGGGAGGTGGAGGTTGCAGTGAGCCAAGATCACACCACTGCACTCCAGCCTGGGTGACAGAGCGAGACTCCATCTAAAAAAAAAATAAAATCAATCACATTCAACCTCAGAAACAGGTTGGTTGGTAATAGCCATTATCATCATTAGACCAAGGAGAGATGCACAGCCATTTAAAGAAGCAACTTAGGTTGCTATTTCCTCTTTACCCAAAGGGTCCTCATAAAAGGAGTTAAGTGTAAACTCTCAGGAAAAACAAACAAACAAACAAACAGATATCTATCCTATACTTACAAATATCTAGGAATCGTAAAAATTCAGAGGAGTAGGAAATGTGAAAATAGTATTAACTTTTCAGATTATCTTGGTTTTATGGTACATAATGTTAAGAAGCATATGTAAGAAACATAATAATAATTAAATGTCTCAGGCATATCAAACTATAATGAATAGAAAATATATGCAAAAGTACTTAGATTGTAACAGTGGACAAGGAATAACAAAATGAAATCTTAATTGAAACAAAAGCAAAGTAAACATTCAAGAAAAAGAGAACAAAACTAAATTTTAGACAATGATTTGTTTTTTCTGCATTTTTCTTAAATTTAATAAACTTTTATTTCAAAAGAAATATAAATGGATTATAAAAATTTAGAAAATACAAATTATTAAAAATAAGAACACTGTATTCATACTACCCAGAGACAACTACTATTTAGAATTTTATTTTATATTATTCCAGATCTATGCATCTGAGGATATATTTGTAGATATATATGAATATAGATTTTTTCATATTGAAGTTCTACTGTTTGGAAACCGAATCTTTTCAGTTTATGGTGCACGTCTTTCTGTTACAGCAAATTATCTTCTCATCTTCTATATAATTTATATTCAGATCTCTCAAGTTTTCCAAAAAGACTCTACAACTGGTTTGTCTAAACCAGGATCTAATCCAGGATTACATTTTCTCTCCAGTTGCTATGTCTATTAAGTCTTCTTAAGCTACGTCAGAACCTTTTTCATGGCACTCACTGAATAAAAAAGAACCTGCAAGTTGTCTTATGGAATATTCCCTCCTCTTGATTTCACTGGTTGCTTGTTTGTGGTTAATGATTTACATTTCAAAAGTAAATTCTGTGGGAATAGGAAGAATGTGGCCTCTTAAAATGTTCAATAAAACACTTATGTATGGTTTTTAAGTACAGAAATTGTAGTACTTTATTTCTTCAGGTTGTTTGTACCTCTACCATTCCTGCAGTGTGGTAAGAAAACAGTAAAGAAATTCAAGTAAACCAAAAATATTGCTGTGAGAAAATACTGAAAGTAAATTCTAACTATAAAAACAGAAATTACTGTCTTGAGTTTTTGAATGTCTTATTTTGCGCATTACTTGCCTGTATAGTAATTATATGGCAATTGATCTCCACCAAAATAAAATAAAAGAGAGGTATTATTTTCTTCTCCTGGAAGTTTGTTCCTAAAAAATAACAACAACAACAAGCAAACAAAGAAACAAACAAAAAACAAAATAGAGCATTTTCTTTTCATATACAGTGACATTGACGTTTACATATATTTACATAAATATGTATACTACCTATTATTTTGCAAAATAAATAAGCAGAGAAAGTTTAGAGTTGGTCTGAATCTACAGCTGACAAAATGTTGGACACTAGTCTCAAATATACATAAATATTTTGCAGTAAAAAATTGGACTGAGAAAACAAAAATACAACCCTTTCAATAACAGTGAGTTTCCAGGGATATGTTAAGCATTTGGACTAAAAATTATACCTTTGGTTAAAACATAAAATATTTCCTGAAATAAATATTTAACTTGCATGTTCAAAAATATGATCTTACACAAACAAAAACATATCACAGTGATGAGTTTTTGTCCATACTATAGTTTAATTTTCTCAGCAGAGATTTTTATATCTGCAGAAAATCCCATTTAGAAAAATCTAGTTGAATTACAGCAACATTTCGGTATACTATAGTACTTTGAGCTGTCAGGAAACAACCTTTAGGATGAACTACCTTTTTAGATTTTTCTGCAGTTTTATATGACAATATAGCAATCATGATCTTTAAAAGACATGATTTCATTTATAGAAGAAGTTACACAGATTTTTTTCATAAGCTTTTTAAACTTTTAAGATTTTATTAAGGATCATCCACCATTAATATTTCTGATGTATCTCTGAGCAGAATTTTATTTAGCAAGAGAAAGTATTTTTTAAGAAAATGTAGTATAATTTCTTTTAAAAATATAAATACAAGATATAAAATGCTTTATTATGGAAAGCATGAGCATGCAGGAAGTTCTTTTTTAGTTTTGATATCCATTGTGGCTTCATGGTCACATATTTTTTAGGTAACACCTGTGTGTTTCACTCAAGATTATTTCCTATGGTATACAAAATTCATGTGATTAAGAACTCTGACCACGGAAACCTCAGAGATACTGCTCTACTCTAGAATAAGTTAAAAATCACAACTACTGCTGTTTAAGCAAGGAAAAAAATTATCTAAGAAGTGATCAGTTTCAAAATTATATCTTTGCTAACAATACATTACAAAAACATTTAAGAATGAAGATTTCCAATCAATCTCTTCTTAATCCCTTTTTGGTACTGTTTACCACTTTTCACGTAATGCTTCATGTGCAAACCTCTTTTATGAGTATATGATGCTTAGACACACTATTGATTCTAATACTCTTGTCGTTATTCTGAAAACATGTCTGAACCAATTCTTTATCCTTCTCCTGACCTTTTTCCTACCAGAGTTACCCTAATAAGAGTTTCAAATAGCACTTTTGGCAATAATAACTCTCGTATTGGTACCCTTATACTCCAGAGGCATGGGGTTTCTATGTGTTGAGACCACTCATTTTTGCATTAGAGCAGTGTTTCCTAACTGGGGATGATGTTGACAGACCTTTGGCCATGTCTGGAGACATTGTCATGACTAGAGGATGGGGGTGCTACTATCTCGTGGATGGAAGTCAGGAATGTTACTAAACATCCTAAAGTGCACAGGACACTTCACGACAACAAACTAATATTCAGCCTCAAATGTCAGTAGTGCCACTGTTGTGAAAGCCTGCTTCAGAGAAAATACTGAAAATAAAATTACAAACTACAAAAATATTTTACAATGTATTTCCTGTTGATTCATATATAATAGCAAAATATTAAATGCACCAACACCAATGTTTTGGCATATGTTTTTCATACTGCTAGCAAGTGTTACATTTTTTTCATCAAATGGCATGTTGTGACTGTTCATCCTCAAAGATGAGTTGTATGTGCATGGTTTATTATTTGTAAAACACACACAAAAACAACTATAGTCTTTACCATGAGAAAGGTTTTGATAGAGCAAAACGTAATGCACTTTTATATATGCATTTCATCTAAATGACTAGATTTGTGAAATGTGGATAACGTCTTGTACAACTGCTCTTTTCTCTTCCTCTGTCTTCTCTCTCTTCATATTTTTGTTTTGTTTTGTTTTTTCTCATTCTGGTTGTCAGAACTCCCCTGATTGCGGCTGGAGTAATTGGTGGGCTCTTCATTCTGGTCATTGTTGGTCTGACATTTGCTGTTTATGTTAGAAGGAAGAGCATCAAAAAGAAAAGAGCCTTGAGAAGATTCTTGGAAACAGAGGTGAGGTATTTATTTCTTCTCTTCATGTGTTTGGGGATTTTCATCAGGTTTAGAAGGTTTCGATGATGTTCAGTTATTTAATCCAAGTAAAATTCTGTTCAATGTCCTAATTAAATTTTTATTTTATAGTCCGTTAAACAAAGCTTGTGAAAGTCAGATTATATCGTAAAAATAGTCAAGGCTTCAAGGGGATAGATGGGAGTAGTCAACAAAATTATTGTATTGGGGAAAGTATCTGTTATTTTGTGTGTGTGGTTGGGGGGATTCCATTAGCAAGCTCTAGACAGGGGATATCTCTATAGCAGCAGATCTAGAAAATACCTGCATCGAAAATATCTCAGTGACAGAGCTAGAAAAATGTTAGAAAGAGAGAGAATCTTTCTGTTTCAGAACAAAACTAAACAGACAAGGAATGCATGTTTTAATTAGGATCATTAAATTGGTAGTCAATGATCTCATTACACCAGCAGTGAAAGACTAAGCTTACAGGATAAAGCTTAGTATTGTAATCACACGGAACTTACAACACAATTTATGGGATGCATTTAATATTATGCATGGCGGTTATTGTGAGTATGTAAATTACTCATAAATGATTATAATGTCTTTTATATTGCTACACTGAGTTCTCTAGCACAAAAGCAGATAGTTTTCGTGGTACAGGATACAGGGAAAAAATAATTACAGAAGACTATGCATTACCAGACCCTTCTCAACTTCCATCCTACCTTTCTCCTGATACACACATCTGTGCCTATCTGAACAATTCAGAGCAATTCTGTTCTGAGATAAGCTTATCCAACGTTTGTTGTTTTTCTCATTGTCAGTCTGACAATTTGACTTTTCCTTTGAACACTGACAGGAATGAGAGGAATGGGAATTTTAATTCACTCACACATTTTGCATACTGATAATGAATTAAATTTTAGCTCTTTACCCAGAAATAAAATCTAGATAGAAGTATCCTGTGAAAGTTTCTGGAGACTACCTTACAGCTTCTTCTAGGAAAACACTTTCTAAGGATTAAAGTTATGTGCAATTGGAATGAGCTGTCTCATGAACAGACATGTTCAAGCAAAATAAAGGTAGTCAATTACATACATGGGAAAACCTAATCATGATTCCTACTTTAGCTGGAAGCTTATGGAAGAGCAATTTGATTACTGTTAATCTTGCACATGTGAATGAAAATTTGGACATGACACATGTGCTTTGTGCTATGCATGTTTGCAATTTAGCTAGGATACTGGAGGCAGAGAGAACTCTATCTCATGGTCAGCTTGAGGCTGTTGGTGAGAGAATTCTGAGAAGTGAAGTATTGTAAACTAGAGCTGGAAAGGAATTGAAAGCTTGGAACACAACATTTAGGTGACTGCATAATGGAAGAGAAATTCCCTTCACCACACACAGGGAAGGCTCATTGCCATGAAAAGAGTTGTATTGCTTTATCTTGGTTTGTTTTTATACTGCAGTGCTTTATAAGAATGTCCTTCAAACTGTCATTTCCTTACTAAATAAACACACACTTATTGGTTTTATAAGCAGGTTCTGTTTTTATAGAAAGTTATTCCTTAAGACTAAATTATTTTACATTTGGTGGTTAGATAATCGTAGAATTCCTATTTTTTTCTTAGTAAAAGAAAATAACTATGATTTTCTACCATCTTTTAAATAAAGGGGGGATTTTTAAGAGGGTCAGTTTAAATCTTTAAATACTGAAGCTAGAAATCTGCCTCAGAAGTGAACATTTATTGAATCCTGATATATTGTTTCCATACACTTAAAGTTGGTACACATTCCTCAAATCATTTTGCTCCAGATTGTCTTTTTTATGTTACATGCATAAAACTAGAAAACATATTTTTTCCACACATGCTTACTGAGATGCACTGTAAGCTTGATGCTTTGGTAGATGGTGTGATTCAAAAATGTATTAATGAGACATGATCTCATCCTTTGAAAAGTAACAGATTTAGTGCCTACAATATGCCAGGCAACATTCTAGAATTTTCCACATATGTTATGTCATTTCATCCTTTCTCAAGTTTCTAAGGTAATTATTGCTGTACCTATTTCACAGACAAGAAATAAAGGTCTAGGAAGGGCAAATTGCTTCCTGTGAGTGGCAACACTGTCATATAAACCTCCAATTTTAAACCCACATGTCTGTAAAATATATTAAATGACAAAGAAACATGTTTTTGTGAAATATATTAAATGATACCCAAGAAAAAAGAAGGCTAAAAAGGTGAGGTAGAATTGTAAAGTTTTCAAAATATGAAATTATTGCATGGTATATGCCAAAGCATATACACAATGTATATTTTAAGTATATCTCATCCAAGATGCTGAAGCCCCCTCTCAGTATTGTGTGATTTTATGTGACTTTTGTATATGATTTTTAAAAAATGATTCATGAGTTATTCATTATACATATAGCATATGTATCAAAATCTACCCAACGATTTCTGTATGGTTGAGTTGCCTTCAAATAAAGGGAACTCAGTTGAGCAATCGTTTTGAAATTTTTCGAATAATTTAGTGATTCTGAGATTTTTAAAATGTGACTTGAATGCAGTTCTATGTTATCAAATTTACATTTATATAACTTAAATTTGAAAATGAAATTGAAGATGAGTTGTCAGACTCACAATTAAAAAAAAATTTGAAGATAACCTAAGTTTATTGGTAATTTTTGATTACATTCTTCCTAAAATTCTTGCTTTAGCTACACTTATCTTCCCTCAAGAATCTTCCACTAATTTAGTAGGCCATGATTTTCACAGAAGCATGGTAATTCATAACCAAGCTGCAGCGCCACAGTGCACTTAGCTTTGTAAACAGATACTTTGAAATACTGTGGTGAGTTCAAGACAATTTGAGTAGTAGTAGCCTTTGATTATTATGCTGGAAAAAAAAAAAAGACTATTTGTAAAGTTTAGTTCCTTAATTTAACTTTAAAAAGACAAAGAAACTCCTATTTCTTGCACTTGCCCTTTTACTCATACATAGATAAAAACCTAAAATTTTAACATAGGATACAGTCTTTTTGGTATCCAGAGCCTCTCTTAGACGTACATTTTTTTTTCTCACATATGCCAGTGATTGGCATGCATGCACATACTTTGCCCCTTCTCATTCATTCCTCCAACTGAATCACATAGCAATGATGATATCTAAAACTATCAGCCTAATTTTACTACTTTGACCACACACAGCCCGCCCCATGATTAGGTAGGTTTCCCACCTTACTTTCACCCTTCTGACCTGTCCCACTCCCTGTTGTATTCTGCTGTATTTCTTCCTCCTCCTTCCTCTTGCTGTGCCCAGGCTGCTTTTCACAGTGGCCCTCCCAATGTCAACCCAATTTCATTATCTCAAGACTTAGACATCTCAATACTTGATTTTAAAGTGTACATTTTTTAGGAAGACAAAACTAGTGAGCCTCATTCCCCAGTAGTTGTTTGATTCCTTGCATTTCATAGCATTCACTTATGATCCAGAATCAAATCATAGAATTGTAGAACTATTGATCTAACAGGTACACTTGGGCCTTGGTACTTAAAATGTGTTCGAGGATCACCATGGTACCTGGGCATCCCTTAGAGTTCTATGCAAATGCAGACATTTCAGGTCTACTCCAGACCTACTGAACCAGGACCTGTATTTAACAAGAACTTGAGGTAATTCAGATGTACATTAAAGTTTTAACAGCACTGTCCTAGAGTTTTGGCATTGTGCCTTTTTTCCCCTCTCCTCTGACATATTTGTCCTGGCTTCCCAGGTATGTTTTAAGCTCTAAGAAGGCAGCATTTCCTTTCCTTAATGCATCAAATCTCGTAGCCTAGTATGCCTCAAGGTAGGCACACATTTGTTACTTGTGTTTGCTCTGACAAAGAGCAGGAGAAGAGAAAGGACAGGGTCTGAAAGAATGCATAAATGTGTCAGTGAATGGTGAGTGGTGCATATTACAAAGGTATTGGGTGTCAAGGCAAACTATATTTGTGCGTTTTTGCTTTGTGAGAAAGAGAACCAGAGAGAGAGAGAGAGAAAGAAAGAGAGAGAGGACTGACTATTGGATTGAAAGTATAATCTTCTTCCTTCCGCTTTGCAGCTGGTGGAACCTTTAACTCCCAGTGGCACAGCACCCAATCAAGCTCAACTTCGTATTTTGAAAGAAACTGAGTTGAAGAGGGTAAAAGTCCTTGGCTCGGGTGCTTTTGGAACGGTTTATAAAGTAAGTAAAAAACAATGCATATTGTTAGTTATTTTAAGTTTTGTTTTATACGTTTAAAAAATAATAGCCAATGGAGTTATTACTTTAGACAACCTAATTTTCTTATAATATTCAGAAAGGGAGACTTATAATATTGAGAAATTGCTGCACAAATGAATTCATTAATTTTTATTGAATGAGCTGGGATGGATACAGTCTTGAGAGAAAAGCAAGAAACTGATACAAAGCCAAGTATAGTTTTTTCTTTATACCTTTCTGAGCCCCTTATGTCATATTCCTTTTGGCA